TTACGTCCAAAAAAGGTAAGTATGTTGTCTACAATTTATTCCAAATACGTCCAGAAGAAAAATTAACATCGTCTAATTTTAGCGTAAAACCCTGTATTGACCTAAAATTAGAAATTTTCTATTGCTTACTCATTACTCAGCATTAAGAGAAGGAAGATCAATGAAATAACCAACTTTTAAGCAAGAATAAATAAAGCAAAAGGCAGTGATGCCTATTAAAACTGTTCCAAGTCAACATAAACCAGTGTTAACGCATTGACCAAGTCAAATTACTCCATATTTGAAAGAAGCCAAGTAGACTGTTTTTATGTTGTTACAAATCAGTCGTCCACAAGATGCTCTACTGGAAATGCCCAGAGATGGTTTGACTGAATATGTTACTTGAAATAAACAGAAGAATAAAATGATCTTTCATCGAAACATTACCTCCAATAGAAAATAACCTCAATGGTGAACGGCTGCTTGAACTGTAAGTGTATACCCAGTTCAAACTTTTCTCAATTGAAGCTCACAGTCAATTTCATAGGTGGGCTAAAAAAGGACGAAGGCGTCAAGGTTGGACAAGTGCTGTGGAAAAATTAAAAAATACAACTGTGTGTAACACAAGTTGCTAGGAGACCAAGAAAAATAAAAACCGATCCGTAGATCCTTTTCCTTCTTTTCTTTAACTTCCTTTTTCATTATAATGCGATCTTGGAGGACTTGGAGTATTGTGTTGATTATTTTATTCCTTACTTTCAATGTGATATATTGGAGGTCTTCTTACTTTAACAACTTTTCCTGCACAGATACGAACCAGTGCCAAGTAATGAGTTTATATTATTTTTGTTTTTATCTTACATTTATTTATTCCACAGGAACAAGACCTTCAAAAGCCAAGTCAAGAAAGTAATGATTTCCACACTGTACCTCCACTTCCGCCTCCACCACCTCCCTATTTACCACATGTTGAACCTATCTTACCTGTTATTCCAGAAGCAAAGCTTGAGGAATACGTCTCCACTAATCCCCAACCACTCCATAAACCTGTAACACATTATCCAGGTATTTCTATAGAATCTTTTTTTTTTTTAAAAATAGCAACAAAAATAACCTAAATTGAACATAGACGCTCATGGAGAGTCTAGCCAGGACCTTGATACCATCGCACCTACTGCCGATAAAACAACATTCCGTCTAACTCCAAATGGTTTAGCTTACGCCTCTCAGGATGAATTATGGCAATTTGGCGTCGTAAGTCTCATATTTTAGACTTATTGAGAGTGATATCATTTAACCTTATTATTTTTAAATAGCTTAACACTAAGCCAGACGTGCTTGTTGTATCAAATGGGAATTATATCGACGTAAAAAATCATTACCATAGAGAGCATCGAATTTATACTTTAATGAAATGGATATTACGAGTGCATAGACGTGATCCTTATCGAAGCGTTCCTCTCGTCATGGTTGACGCTGGCAAGTATTTACAACTTTGAGAATATAAACATAAACTAATTTCATTAAAGGTTCGAACCATGGGTTATTCTCCCTCGTGGCTGGCTCAAGCGGTGCCCATGTCATTGCATTTGAACCTCAAACGCACTTGCAAAGTAATAAAAAAGAACGAGTAGTCGAATTTACTATTGACATTGTTTTTAAATTAGGCATTATCAACATGGCCGGACGACTCAACCAATTATCCCATCGGCTGCGTATTCTACCCTTTGCAGTTTTAGATCAATTTAAAAAACTCGGAATGACCAAGTTTGAGATAAATGATGGAGGTATCGGTTCCCTTGACTACAACTCTCCTAATGCGGCCATAGTCACACATACGATTAGGTTGGACAGTCTACCGATCTATGATCGTTTATTTAGCAACGATCGCTCAGCAGATAAATCCTTGGTTGAACTGGAAGAGTTAGGTAACGACTATGCCAATATGATCCAAACACGTTTGGATAAACAAGTGCAGTCCATGAATGAAACCTTTTTGTTTCGTCAGCCCATTCATTTTCTCAAAATTGATGTCGAAGGATTTGAGGTACCTGCTCTCAAATCAGCAGCCGGATTATTCGAGCAAGGTTTAGTTGAAAATACTATATTAGAGTTTGGCCCACCTAGTCGCTGGGATGTCACAGTTGAAGGCTACCAAAGAATGGATCTTCGACAGGTGCGCGAGAGAACGACCAGGGACGCAAAGGCGTTATTACACAAGGTTGTGACCGATTGGAAGCTGGATATTCATCTGCTACCTGCTGAAGGTTGGGAAAAGACAGTGCGTTGGATGATTGACCATGGTGTTGATATTAGTGATGGTGATCCAACCAAAAATAAGGTTGTACGTAAACTCATGGCTTGGGAATTTGATGACTTACCCAGAGATGAAGATGAATTTGAGAAAGAGCTTGACGCAAAGAAGAACTTGGTAACAGAGTTTATTGATTTACCCGAGCACTTGATTGATAAGTATTTGGATGACTCGCAATCAATTGGAGAAATGTATTTATGGTTCACAAAAAGAGATAGTCAATCATCTGTTATGTCCAAGGTGTTGTAACATCTTTTCTGAGCGATAAGAAAATAAAACTCCGTCATTTGAATGAACCCTCTTTTCTTTCTAATATCCATGTCTATTAAAAAAATTGATTATTCACTCTATCTAGTTACAGATCGCTCATTGGTCCCAGAAGGAAAGACCTTTCTTGACCAAATAGAACAAGCCCTTGAAGGAGGCACTACACTTGTTCAACTACGCGAGAAAGATACAGATACGGGGCCATTTATTGAATTCGCGCTTAAAGTCAAAGAGCTTACTCGCCGTTTCGGTGTACCTTTAATTATTAATGATCGTATTGATGTTGCATTAGCTGTTGATGCTGAAGGTGTACACATTGGACAAGATGACATGCCATTAGCACAAGCACGCGCCATTTTAGGACCTAAAAAGATTATTGGTGTTTCTTGTAACAACGAGAAAGAGGCAGAGGAAGCTATTCGAGGTGGAGCCGACTATCTTGGAATTGGTGCTGTCTGGTTTACGTCGACAAAAAAGTTGGTGAAGCAGCCCTTAGGGATCGAAGGCGTGCAGAGTAAGCTCAAAGAGATACATAAGAACATTGCGACTTATCCTACATACAGGAATTCTTCGTTCTATTGAATCCAATCCGGTGCCAACGGTGGCTATAGGTGGTATCAACACAGATAATGCGGGAGAGTTGATCAAAGGATCTCAAACGGATTTCTTGTGCTTGGATGGTCTTGCTATTGTGTCTGCCATTATGGCAGCCGACGATCCTAAGGCTACATGTCAGCAATTTGCCGATATTATTCAGGCATCTAAACAGTCATCCGTCAGCAAAGACGTGACAACAGAGACAGTAATCAAATATGCTATTCAAGCTATGAAGAATATCAAGTCTAAAGGACCTATGGTTCATCACATCACTAGTATGTATGAGCTCTTGATGAAAACTTTCTGCTCATATATTTAATAGATTACGTTGTTATCAATGATAATGCCAATGCTACTCTAGCTGTGGGTGCTTCACCTATTATGTCAACCAATCGTTCTGAAGTGGAAGATCTTGCTAAAGTAAACGGCGCTATGCTGCTGAATATGGGAACTTTGAATGATATTGACACGATGATCTTGGCAGCACAAGCCAATACACGACATGGTAACCCAGTTGTGTTAGACCCTGTTGGATGTGGAGCGACTAGTTTCAGAAAACAAATGCTAGCACGATTTTTAGATGAATGTAAGCTGACGGTGATTAAGGGAAATGCAGGTGAAATACTTTCTATGGCAGGTGCTGGAGGTAAATCCAAAGGCGTGGACTCAGTTGGGACATATGATGAGCAAAGGATTATAGATGCTGTCAAGTATCTCGCAAGACAACACGGTACGAACAATCATAAACTGGGAGTGTTAGAAATAACAGATTGAGCTAGATTGCATCATTGGATTAACTGGACCAACGGATTATGCATCTGATGGTGATCGAGTGATTGCGATTGACAATGGACACCGTTATCTACCACTGATCACAGGTAGTGGATGTATGGTGTCGTCTGTAGTAGCCTGTTTTGTAGCTGCAAACAAAGACGATTATCTCTTGGCTACTGCTGCAGGTATGCTTACAGTGACCATTGCTTCAGAGATCGCTAGTGAGCGAGAGTACGTGAATGGGCCGGGAACCTTCCGTGCGGCTTTGATTGATGAGCTTTTTAATCTTACAGATTCACCCGAGATCATCAGACAGTACGCTAAGATTAGAATTATTTAAGATCTTTTCTATTTTTATAAATAAAAATGAGAATTGAAAACAATTATAACTTTCCAAGTCGACTGGCACCATCGATACGAATGATTTCACCACTCAAGAATCCATTTTCGATAATGTGACAAGCGAGCAAGGCAAACTCATGAGGACGACCCATACGTTCAGGGAAAATGGCGTCTCTGATAATTTTTGCTTTAGCAGCTTCATTCATCATGGCTGTCATGTTGGTTTCTATTGATACAGGTCAGTTTAGAGTAAATCTATTTAATTAAACATTACCAAAAATACCAGGAGCAATTGTCATGACGCGAATACCAGCAGGTGCCAAATCACGGCTCATGGGCAATGTCATGGAAGCGACACCTCCCTTGGATGCAGAATAAGCGACCTGTCCGGTTTGACCATCTTGATAAGCTACAGAGGCTGTATTGATAATCACACCACGTTCACCATCGTTAGTATATGGATCTTGGTTAGCCATGACTTGAGCCACTTGTTTACATACATTAAATGTGCCGATCAAATTGACGCGGACAGTAAATTCGAAAAGATCCAAAGTCATCGTATGGGATGATTTTCCTCGTCTAGCAGTTTTGGCAGCAGTAGCAACACCTCCACAGTTAATTACACCTGCAATACGACCAAATGTATTGATTGTCCTTTCTATAGCATTACGAACAGCTTCTTCTGAAGTCACATCCACTTTTCCAGCAGCAAATGCAGTCGATCCTAATTCTTTAGCAAGTTCCTCACTATAAATGTATATATTTCTTAAAAAAGGGAATAATTAATATAAACTTATACGTACGCTCTTTCGTCATTCAAGTCAAAAATCTAAAGAGTTTAAGTCTCCTTTTGTTTTTGTCTTTTTTTTTACTTTAACTTACAGCGACATTAGCTCCACGCTTAATCAATTCACGAACAGTTGCTTCACCAAGACCACTAGCACTAATGCTTTTTAAGTATAAGAGCCTCTTTTTTTATTATTATTTACCCTCCAGTGACAATAAAAGTATTTTCTTTAATTTGCATCTTTGAGATCAAGGAAGAGGGTGAAAGAAAGTGTAATGTGAGAATAATTGATAAATGTCCAATTTATGCTGACAAAGAGTTACACAGGCACATTTGAATAAAATACAGTGAAGATATACAGTCAATAAGGCCAAGATTGTGGTTCTATCTACCGGTAAATTTTACTATTATACTTTTGTTTCTGTTTCCCCCTTTTAGGATTTTTATCATTGATATAAAAACCACTATCAAATGTACTTTTATTCTTCTTCTTTTTGAAATCCTTCATGGCAGCAAATTCTCCGTGTGAAAAGGAACTTGCGGCGGATAATTCTTTTTTGGTCATGGCACGCACTGTAGACCATACTGATTCATCTGTAACACTACAGGAAACAAATCATAGCGATACGACAGCAACATATGAGCCAGTATACTCTGTGTTTACGAAAAATGCTAAAGTAGCCATAACAGCTACCGTATCATTATCAGCATTTTTTTCTCCATTTTCTACCAACATTTATTTTCCTGCTTTGCATATCATACAGAGAGTAAGCAGTATTGTGTGTATTATATACTTACTTATTTATTTTTGAATCAAAAAGGATCTGCACACAACAGAACAGCTGATCAGTTTGACCGTGACGATGTACATGATACTCCAAGGCATATCACCCTCCTTTTGGGGCGCCATGGCCGATACCTGGGGAAGACGACCAGTTTATATAGCAACTTTTTTAGTCTATTCTTTGGCATCCGCTGGTGCGGGCTGTGCCCAGAATTACCCAGGATTACTCATCATGCGCATGCTTCAAGCAGTAGGCTCCAGCTCGGCTATTGCAGTTGGAGCCGGTACGATTGGTAAGAAACAGGGAACATCTTATTCTTTTTTATCATCCTAGTCTTTTTTTAATCTTGATTTAATTTGTTTAGGTGATATATCTACACCTGCAGAAAGAGGAGGGTATATGGGTGTCTATTCTATGCTCACTCAGCTTGGACCACTGTTGGGCCCTTTCCTTGGTAAGTACAAAGGTTTGTCAATAGAGAGATGCTGATTATCGGATATAGGTGGATTGATCAGTCAAACGTTAGGATGGAGGTAATTAGTGATAGATCAAGTCGAGATGAGAATTTGATAATAATAATAATAACAATTTTATTAATTATAATAATAATAATATATACTATAGATGGATATTCTGGATTTTAGCTATCATGTCTATTCTCCTATGGTTTGTCCTAGTTATCTTTCTACCCGAGACATTGAGATCACTCGTCGGCGATGGTTCGGGATATGCAAATCCCACCCTTCTACAATACTGGAGAAGATCATTTAGAAAGCAAGAACATGACGGACTGAGCACGACTTCTCGATTTGATTCAGCCACAGTTGTCTGTAAAGATCATTCAGAGCTCAGCCTGTCATTACCAAGTGCTATCAGTTGTATGCCTGTCAAGGGTGACTTTAGAGTGGAACATACAGAGAATGCAAAAAAGAAAAATCGATTTCCTAACGTATTCCAGTCATTGACCTATCTGAAAGAAAAAGACATTGCCGTATTACTCTTTTACAATGCATTACAATATAGTGCAATCTACAGTATGCTCACGAGTTTAACCAAGCTCTTTACAGAAACATATCAATTAAATACACTTCAGATCGGCTTGTGTTATTTATCTAGTGGCTTTGGCTCATCTTTAGGTTCATTTAGTTCTGGAAGATTACTGAACTGGCAGTTTAGTAGATATTCCAGATCATACTTATCTACCAAAGGTGAAGGATCGAGGTATGTTTTGATATATTGCAAAGACAGTTATCACTAATTTATTCTTAGATCTATCAATAGGAAAAACCTTGATCCTGAGTTTCCTATCGAGGCTGCCCGCCTTAATCTAACCTGGATCTGGGGTGTCGCCTTTAGCTTATTTACATCAGCCTATGGATGGTGTTTACAGCTCAAAGTGAATATTGCAGTACCACTTACCATGACATTCTTTAGTAAGTGTTTTTTTCAAAAATTTTTATAACAGTCTAACAGTTTGTATTAGTGGCATACACTTCGTCTTCTACATTTTGTGCCATCAATACACTTTTAGTGGATTTGTTTCCAAACAACTCAGCAGCAATTATAGCTTCAAATAACTTTACACGATGTATTCTAGGTGCCCTTGCAGTATTTTGCGTCAATCCAGGAGTTGAATTCATGGGCATAGGGTGGTTCTTCACTACCGTGTCCCTCATTGTATTTGTATCAAGAGCAATTCTTATTGTGGAACTAAAGTATGGTCCAAAATGGAGATTACAGCGAACCGAACGCAGTATGGTCTTACTCTCCTAAGTTTGTGTGTACTTTCCAATAAAACAAGATTTGACGCAGAATAATGTTATGTAAATATTTATATGTTGATACTTTCATTGGCCAGATAAATAAAAGCCTTTTACCAAAATCAACCCCTGAGATCAAGCTAATCTAGTCTAGTCTAATAGTAATAGTAGTAGTAGTTTGGGTAGAAACTAGAATGGTGTTTCATATTGGTAGCATATTTTTCACAACCAGCATGCTATAATTATCTATCCTTGATCTAACCTTTGATATCTTTTGGAAAAAGAGGAAAGAGAGCAAGGGAAATGGATTGATATAAAAAAGGTGGACTTGTTTTGTCTTTTCTTTTTATACGACTACATTTTCACATATTTGTTGTCATTTCAGCCAAATCAATGAATAGCTTAAAATATTTAAGTAAAAGGTTCAGAATTGAATCCTATTCTTTGTCTACTTTGAAACGTTGGCATTCAACAGGGATGATGTTGAATGCAGTTAGTGATCGAGATGGCCGATTGAGATTAGAAGAAGAGAACTACTCAACCAAAGTTAGTTCACCCATTGAGGAGCCTTATGGAAGTGTATTGAAATCGCTTGTTGAAAGAACAGCAAAGGAGCTACCTAACGGACACATGATGGTGAGTGAACTTCAAGGCAGATTACTTCATCAGCTAGTAAAGTTACTTCGTCCAAGACATGTGTTAGAAATAGGAGGCTTTACAGGATATTCAGCTATTGCCATGGGTTCAGGATTGGGACATGATGCCAAATTGTTGTCATTGGAGTTGGAGAATAAACATATAAAGATAGCACAAAAACATGTTGAAATGGCAAAGTTGCAAGATAAAATTCAATTTCGAGAAGGACCGGCAAGTGACAGGTAATAAGAGAACAAAGCACGTGTGTAGGACTAACGATGGCGGTATAACTGCAGTATTGTTGCACTTGTAAACCAGCTTCCCGGCTTGAAATATGATTTTATATTCTTAGGTAAATTACTTCCAGAAGCACTGTAATAAAAGCTAACTTAACAATAGATGCTGATAAGGGAGGATACATTGGCTATTATGAGCAAATATTAGAATATGATTTATTATCAAACCATGGGTTACTCTGCGCTGACAATGGTAAATGATGGGAGATAGTCGGGAAGGTCTGTTTTATATTCTCACCGTTTTCGTATAGTTTTATTCTTTGGACAAGTACACAAGACGAATAGTCAGGCGTCAAATAATATTAAGAAAGCAGCAGCCAAGATGAGAGCTTTTAATGAACACGTCATTAAAGATCCAAGAACAGAGGTAATCGTTTTACCATTGTTTGATGGCATCTCGTTTATTCGAAAGAAATAAGCAAGACTGGTTTCACAGTAAATAGCCTTTTTTTGCTTTTTTTGTCTAAATTTCCAACTTTTTAACTGTTTATGGTTATTTTTAAAAAAAAGGGAAAATATTTTCCAAGGTCATTACTGTGTTTTACCCCGCATCGTCGTGATCTCGGACAATGAAACCCAATCTGACCTATTCTTGACTCATGCAGTACTCTCTCACTCCATTTGTTTGTGCGCGTGTGCCAGTTCATTTGATTTTGATTATAAATATTTTTCTTTTTTTCTTCTTATTTTTGTTCTTTTCATTGTTTTTGTTTTCTTTACTCTCAATGTCTTCTCCAAAGAATACTTCTCCTCCAGCTTCAATCGCCGAAAAAGAAGCGCCAAAGGATGAAGCAAATAACAATAAGGATCTTATTGTTGAACTAGAAAACTTATCCAAGGAAAAAGATAGTCTGACAAAGGCTTTGGTCAGGTAAATATATATCTATTCATTCATCTTGATCTCATCTCTCTTTTCATTATTATCAGAAAACTAGACAGACGAATTTTGCCTCTCTTGTGTACACTGTATCTTTTAAGTTATATAGACAGGTAACATATTATTATCATAGTGTTATCATTCTAACGTATTCTATATAGATCAAACATCGGTAACGCCAAGTTAGGTGGCCTAGAGAAAGACTTGAATTTATCAAAATCACAATATCAGTGGTCTTTGTCTATCTTTTATTTCTCTTATGTCATTTTTGATTTGCCTTCAAACATCATCATGAGGCGCTGGCGTCCTTCATTTTGGCTAGGCATCCTTATGTTGTAGGTAATAAGTAGTGTTCTAAACATGACTAATGACATATATCTCTATATAGCTTCTGGGGCACAGTCGCAACTGCTATGGCTGCTAGTAAAAACTTTGCTTCCATCGCAAGCGCTCGGTTTTTCATTGGTCTATTCGAAGCAGGTAAACAAAGGGATTCAAGGGTTTCAGCGTAGAAATAATTCTTGTAGGCTTTTTTCCTGGCGTGATTTATTTCATGTCATTGTGGTACACAAGACAGGAATATGGTCGTAGAATTAGTTTCTTTTGGTCCTTTAGCTCGCTTGCAGGTGCATTTGGTGGACTGATTGCTTACGGTATTAGTCAAATATCTGATGACCGCTTAAAGACTTGGCAATGGTAAATCATGGTTTCTTGTTCTTTTCATTTTTAATTAACTTGTCTCAATCAGGTTGTTTATTATCGAAGGTATCCCAACTATCGTCTTGGCTGTATTCACCGCATGGTACTTACCAAATGAGCCTGAAAGTGCCAAATTTTTAACCAAAGAAGAACGAGAGTTTGCTTCTACTAGGCTTGCTGAAGATGCAGGTGCTTCACATAACCATTCTTGGTCGTGGGCTCAAGTCGCATCCGTCTTTACAGATTGGAAAACATATATATTTATGGCAGTTTACATCACGGGCACCAGTGCTCTTCAAGGAGTCACCCTATTCTTACCTTCTATCGTATCTGGTCTAGGCACATGGCCCACTCCTGTGTCACAGGCATTGACAACGCCCCCTTACTTTCTTGCTTTTTTAGTCACGGTTGCTGTCGGTTGGAGCTCAGGTAATATGATAACAGTAGCAATTGATGAATCAGTTCCTAATGCCGCTTAGATCGATATTTTGAACGTGCTTATCATATGTTGGTTACGAACATTGTGGCACTCCTTGGTTTCTTACTGCTCATGTTCCTACCTGCATCTAATGTGGCCGGAAACTATATTGCTGCATGTATTGTCACTGTAGGCGTCTATGCTAATGTCGCTGTAAAAGTAGCGTGGTTTAATAATAACTTGTAAGTCGCCTTTATGGCTCTCTTTAACATTAAGCTTACTCTACAATATATAGTGGTGGTCTAACTCGTCGAGCTGTTGCTTCTGCCGCTATTGTCTCTGTAGGTACTATTGGCGGGGCTATTGGTGGCCAAATATACTATGGTAAGCATTGTATACAGCATATAAAAATATGAAATTAAGCCATAAATAGATCCTCCAAAGTACTTTGGTGGTAACTGCATCGCGTTTGGATGTATGGCAGCCCAAACTGTCCTCGTGATCATCCTTCGAATCTTATTAGCCCGTGAAAACAAACGAAGGACCTTCTTGACAGATTCACAAAAAGAGCAAGAAATTGAAAAGTATGGGGGCTATGACTTGGTTGGTGATCGTCATCCTTCTTTCAAATATGTCTTGTAAAAAAATTGTACTTTTAATTTATAAATACCACTTTTTTTTTTTTTTACTTGTATCATAAATGTCTACTACTTCCACCCAATCAGCTCAAATGTATGAAAATGCGACTGAAGGATTGCAAACGCTAACAAAATTATGGGAAACTATGTTGAATATCATACACTCAGTATCTACTGCTTCTGGTTCGTCACTCACAGTTGAACCAGATCTGATAGCACTTCAAAAAACACGCCGGGAATTAGAACAGTTATTGAAATCACTTCAATCAACTGCCTCATGGTTAGATAACGTTGATATGCCTGAGCATAGTGATCAGTCTGATTCAGAAGAATACGCTGAACTATTAAAAGAGAACAAATCAGCAGTTGAGGTTTGTCTTTTGAATTATAAAATGATCTTTACTAATTATCTGATAGGAAGCAGAACATGTGTCGGATCAGCTAAGACGGCTTTTAAGTAAATCATATGCATTACAGTTACTAATGGAAATGCTTCAAGTCTCTTCAAAAGAATAACCACAATTCAAATCATAGACATATAGTTTATTGGAATAAAGCTTATTCAAGTTTCAAACTAGAGCTTTTGAGCAGTAACAACAGCGAAACCAACCACACTCTCTTTTGTTTCCAAGTCATGCTTGTATTCTTTTAAGAAGCTGACTAAATCTTTTTGATTATGTATTCCCAACATAGGGCCCAATACACGCCTCATGCTCTTTATTGCTTCCAAGTTATCCCAAATAAACATCTTGGCTGTGGGTGTACCAGAGCCTATTATAATTAGATACCATGGTCTCTAACAGCAGCTTTTAACTTACTCATATCGCAAGCTCTATGATCAGATTCAACAACTTTTACATTACTATATTTAGAGAGCATTATTTCGAGCTCGGATCCTATATTCGGATCCTGTCCCCTTGATTTGCACGCATCTTTAACTAACATGAATAAAGAGCGTTAATATGGGGTTATCTTTTCCAAAAGAATGAAAACATGTCAAGTCTTACAACATGATAGAATTCTATAATACAAGCTGGATGAATCATTCTGTGGCTGAACAAAAGGGAGTTTCAAACATCTGTGTGAAATAGTCATTGATAAATAGCTACCTGTAAGTCAAACTCTCCTAGCTGGATCATGCCTCCTGGTTTAGTAACTCGTATAACTTCACTTAAAGCCGTTGTCCATTCATCTTTGCGAAGACAGGCAACAAATAGTCTCATATGAACAAAGTCAAAAGTATTATCTTCATATGGAAGCCTGTTTGTTACATTTCCAAGGCTAAAGGTAAACTGCTTTACGTCTATATTTTTGTAAGTTACATCAACGATATCACAGCCGTGATAGATGCAGTTAGGATGCTCTTGAACTATGTCCTATCATAAAGAGAACGGCAGATTAGATGCAGAAGTTCGTCAGAACCGATCACTAACCATGATCCATGTACCAGAACTGCAGCCAACATCAAGGATAGTTATGCCACCTTCAAGATCTAGAGCCTCTGCTACGCTAGGCATCACATTTCTTGAGGAACGATTATTATTAACTCTAGTCAATATTCCAAGCTTTAATTACCCTCCATATAAGCTTTTGATAGCAAAGTGTTGCTAATGGATACAGTTAGCATATATGCTTATACACTACAATGTATATTTGTACCGCCGTAAGTCTCTTTTGTTCCTCCTCGTCTTTTGGTAGCCAATATCCGGATGTTTCATCGTTATGAAACTCTTGCTTCGTGTCAAAAAATGTAGGGTCAACTGCAGCAGTGATTGCTTTTTGTGTAATCATGTTCTTGGTGGATATGTCTTCTTGATATATATTATTTCTCCTAATTCTACTTTTAGTCCTTTTCAATGTTGAACAGCAAGTTCCCATCACTTTTTACGCAAGGCTGAAGGAAAAAAAAAAGCCTTATAGTATGAGTCTCTTTCTTGGGAAAATGCAAAAGTATCCAACAAGATTAAAAAAGGTTCTTGTTTCCTCAACAGGATTTAGGTTAGTTAAAGTGCTACCAATGTGTATTACAAAATATGATGATAATATACCATTTATTTAAGATAAATCTGTACACCCAACTGTGATAAAGCTGCTCAGACGTATATCAAATGTTGAAATAACTACTTTGAATACAATCTGATGAATGTTTGAAAAGCCTAATCAAAGTACTTGGTACAGAAACAAGGGATACAGAGAAAGTGTCCCTATACAATCATGATGTAGATATATATTTCACTTTTCAAGAGCTTTAGTTATTTCTTTTTGGAAAAGCTACACTTTTGGTTGATTCCTACAAGATACAACTGTGTCTTTTCTAAGTAAAACTTATCTACAAGGATACAAGGGCAAAGACATGTTTGACTACACTTTATTATGATTCTATTAACACATACAGGTATTAAATACATTTTTATATTATTTTAAAGCTTTTGGACAGCAACAGAATCTAGGCGATAGACACTCTCTTTTGTTTCCAAGTCATGCTTGTATTTCTCCAAGAATATGTCTAACTCTTCTGTAGTACTTATTCCTAAGACTGAACCCATTATATATTGAACACTCTTTATTACTTCCAAGGCATCCCAAATAAAAAGCTTTGCTGTATTCGTTCCAGAGCCTAAATACAGATTTAGCTATGGTTGCTTATTATGCTTGTCTATGGGCTTACTCGTATCACAAAGCCTACATTCGGATTGAGCAATATTTATGCCATCAAACTTTGAGAGCATATTTTCTAGTTCAGCTCCTATATACACATTTTGTCCTTTTGCTTTACAAGTGTCTCTAACTAACGATCCCAAAGTTACAAAACCTTGTATTTAAAGGCTAATGTTTAAACTTACAAGCTGACATAACCCTATAGAATATATTGGTAGTATCTTTGGGCAGCTAAACAAGGAAAATTTTAGAATATAAACCAGTTGTTTAATCACAAACACTTGCCTGAAAGCCAAATTCTGATATCTGTATCATGCCTCCGAGTTTAGTAACACGTATTAATTCTTTTATAGCCGTTGGCCATTCGTCTTCACGAAGAGCAAGGACGAAAAATCTCATATGGACAAAGTCAAACGTATTATCTTCATATGGGAGCCCTTTGATTACGTTTCCTTTGCTAAAGGTAAACTGCTTTACATCTACATTCTTGTAGGTAATGTCATCTATATCACATCCATGGTAGGTACAATTAGGATATTCTTGTACCATGTCCTATCGTATGAAAGAATAAATACAATGGCCCATAAGCTCATATTATTGCTTACCATAATCCACACACCAGATCCACATCCTACATCAAGGATGTTGATTCCCTTTTGAAAGTCTAAAGCACTTGTTACGCTTGGTAACACATTCCTACAAGCATAGTGTTAAACTGATACTTCAAAATGAGGAAATGATGTGTTTACCCTTCGAATAGACTCTTGAAAGCATAGTGTTGCTATGAAGACAGTTAGCCATATATATATATATATCCATGCATGAAAGTATACACTCGTACTCCTGTAAGTCTCATCTGCTCTTCTTCATCCTTTGGTAGCCAATATGTAGACCCTTTGTCGCTATGAAACTCTCGCTTCGTATTAGCCATAGGATTCACAACAGTTGTAGTCTCTTTGTAAGCAGTCATAGTATTACAAAAGGTATCTTCTTGGCTTGTAATGTTTCTATCACTAATAGGCTGAGCTCTATACGCCACAGGAAAACAGTTGCCCATCGTTTATCAAGTAAGAACAAAGAGGAAACAAAACTTACCTAAGAAGTCACCTGCTTTGAAGATGGCCAAAAAGTGTTGAACAAGATAAAAAAGTTCTAAATTATCAAATGCTTTTTAAATCAATTAAAGTACTACCAGCTTTGATTGGGGTGCTACAAACCATATAATGCTTTCAATTGTAGTCGAAAAGAAGATCAAAGTTATTGATATGGAGTTATACAGTGAGTGGCACTATACATTTTGCTCTGATATAGAGACACTTTGTTTTTCACCTATTTTTAATAAAAGCCTGAGTGCTTCTGCTAGACAATTGAGCTTATATTCGTGTAGATTGGTCAAACGTTTTTACAAAGATCCCAAAAGCATTTTTGAGAAAAAGAAGATCATTGTCATCGTTTTTTGAGAAGAAGTATAAGCAATTTCTTTTAAATTCTGATGAGAATCCTTCAACTGTTTAAGTAGTAGAGCGGTTGATAACTTAATGTAATTTATCTACTAAGCAGGCGAAATTCCATCCTGTGGAAACAAATAACGAGAAGAAAATTCAACAAAGACATAGTTGGGTCAAGATATAGTAGTAAACTCACTTGGGCTTTACAACAAACAGTGTCTTTTTAGATGTGTTAGCCTTTAATATTAATTTGAAACTAAGTACGACTTAGTCAAAGAAAGGAACTTCTGTACACTATTTCCAGAGAGAGATATCGCGCTGATTTGCCGTTTTTTCGTATAAATCGTATTATAAAATTGCAAAAATACGACTTTACTTTCTGAAAAAGCTGTAATAATTACGGTACATCTTTTTGTAATTCCAATAGTTACAACATCTGTTGTAGTCCCAAACATACGTAGTTTAAACAATATCTCACTCTTTTTTCTTTTATTCACT